ATATGTGAAATTACTCAGTAATTTGAATGGGACACAGGAGGCATCTAATTTGTAAACTTCATTTTATCATTATATAAGAATCATAAACCTTGAGTTTATATCCAGTCTTGTTTATATCGAAGGGAGAATATAATAAAAATTTTAATGAAAATATTTGTCAACACGGGGAACCTATTTTTTCCCTCACTCCTTTAAAAGGAAGTATGCATATTATTCAAATTGGACAAGCTGTTTTAAATATCTAACGAAACTCCAGTGTGGCAAGATCTGGGCTGTAAATTACAAAGGGAGAGGAGAGCAGGGGATAACCGGCTGGTGGCTTTGTTCTCTGGAGTGGCCTGGAGGTGGGTCTGGCCAGGGTGTGACTGCCGTCTTTGAGGGGGAGCCCGCGGAAGGCACAGTGTCTAATGCTGAGGGGCACCTCTTCTTGTAAGAGCAGAAGCGGACTGATCCTCCTAAATCTCAAAGTGCAGAGTTTGATTTTTGCATAAAGAATGGCGTGACAAGACCAGACCAAACTGTATACATTCAAAATAAGGTCTGGGCAGGGGAAGGGGAAAGAGAAGGATTTTCTTATTAGCAAAAATTTGATTTGGGGAATATTTTTAAAAGCTGTGTAGCAATTTCTTTCGTGTGTTCTGTATATTTTAAGCAGGGGATTGTGGGCACGCGGCTACAGGAGGTCAGGCTGATGAAATATTTTAACTTAAAGCAGGTTTCCGTTGGCATAATAATGTATCAAACATCAGTTTCAAGTATCAACACTTTCTTGAACTTTTTGCTTAATAAGAGCCACAGTGTGCAGTCTGAATCACCCACGTTCCTAATGATGGCAGCCAGATAAATCGGACTTTATTGTACCTGCATGTTAAGACCTAGCACTTCATTAAAGATTCTAGGCGTCAAAGAATTAAAAAAGAATTAATTTCAAAGCTTTTTTTCTGGTAATAGAAATACTCATTTGGATGAATTTGCGAATATGTTGGTCATTGTTGGAAGGGCATGCTTCCCGGTCCTGACGTTAGAATCTTTTCCAGTGTCCCAGAGGGGGCAGAATTTGTTGGAGGCAGAGAGGGGATAGAATGTGAAGCATAATTGTATGTGGAAACAACTGTGTGAATGATGAGTAAACGTATTTAATCATAATTAAAAGAAATTAAGATTGGAACTAAAAGCACGGTGAGTGCCCTCGAATGGAGAGAACCATCACGGTGATGTCGGCTGGGGCCTCTGTCCCCCAGTTGCCCACATATGCTCTTGCGTTTTAATCACCTGGATGGCTCTGACCAGAGGTGGTGGGAGGGCCCGGAGTCACGTTGGCCCCCACTGTATCCCGGAATTACCTCGGCCAGTGTAGAAGGGGGTGACCGGTTCGAAGGTGGGATTATAAACTCACAGGGACAGGTTTCTGGGACGTGTGTCTGAGTAGCGTGTGGCTGGGACATCCAACAATAAAGGTGTGTGCTCCACAGTCGTCGACACCGGAAGACCAGTGAGGGCACAGGGCTGGCCAGCAGAGCTGGGGAATGGGAGAATGAAGACCCCAGCCCCGGCTTACTGTGCTTTCGGCAGGGGTGGCTTGATGCCGAGGTCTCCTCCTGGAGAGTGGTGGCCGTCACGCTTCAAAGGAATCCTCCCGTCCTCAGCGGTAGCCTGACTGTGACACCTCGGTGTGGGCGAGGTGAGGGGGAAGGAAGGGAAGGTCCCAAGGCCCACCCAGCTGGGGGCTCAGCGCCGCCCTGCTGGTCTCTAAGCACTTGTCAGAGGTAGCTCTGTGATGCCTAGTTCACAGCCCCATGCCTTCCCTTGGCCCAGTTCCTCTAATTCCAGAAATCCAGGGGGCCCCTAACGGCCCCACACCCACCACTTGCTCCTCTACTCTTTTTCATCTCCCTTGTCTTTCCTTCCTTCCTTCTACCTTTCTCTAAGGCCATGGCCGTAGCACCCACGGTTGTCCCTTGGCCGGCTGGTGGCCCTCCGTCAGCCAACGCCCCCGGCATCAGGCAGCATGATTTTTCATGTCTAGACACACCTCATGATTGTGAATGCAAGCCCTACAGTGCAAAGATAATGGCACTCGAGCAAAGAGAAATTTTTAAAGCAAAGACATTGGACGTTGTCATAGTCAACTTTGGCTGCATTGGTGCCACTTAACAAACGGCCCCACACGTCCTTGGCGAACCGCGCCATTTATGTTTCTTGCAGCGAGCCTCAGGGATGCTGCCTTAGCCTGTGGGTCGTGGGCTTGGGCTCCAGGCTTTGGGTTGAGCTCCCGTTGGCTCCATGCATCTCATTTTGGGTCAGTAGCCTCACAGCAGTGACAGGAGCATGAGAGGAAAAGTGCAAACACGTGGAGCCTCTTAGACCTTGGCTCAGAATCAGCATGGTTATCCCTTCTAGTGAACATTGCATTGGCCAAATGGAATCGTATGGTCAAGCCCAGATTTCAGTGGGGTGGGAAGAAAGCACTCCATTCTCTTGCACTGCTGCACGGTCACTTGAATGGGAGAAGGAAGGAAAGCTCGAGAACATTTCATCCTCCTAAGTTATGCCCAGAGAACATGGTTCTCATACCTGGGGTGGGAGTGCCATGAACAGGGATCCAGGCAGCATGAGAAGCTCCAAGGAGTCCTGGTTGGTAGAAGCAGTAAGTGTAAATACATTCAAATACACGAATAGGTTTCTGTTGTCCCATCTGGAACATGCTGGTTTGAGTCCATTAATGTGCAGGTGGCTGACCGCCTTCCTCCTTGGTGCATGAGCCAGAGGCCCGGCCCACCCCTTCCCTCCAGACCTCCAGACCCACGGGCAGCCTTCTGCCCTTTGGAGCAGGTTCCTCTGAGCATCCGCTTAAAGTTTCAAAGATATTTTAAAGCTTACTGTCTGAAGCCTTTGGCCGAAAGAACACCCCCCAAAATTTGAGATGACTGTTAGCAATTCTTAGTGCCAATGATGAGGAGCAAGCTTGTGGCTCATCCACAAATAATCGGAAGGGTGGTTCATATTAGGAACCCAGGCCAGCAAGCTGCCAGACATCATAGCAGCTGTGCTTACAAGACTCATGAGATGCAGGGGCGGTTTTGATCTAACAGTGACATGATTTACTGTCTCACAGACCCAGTGGCCATTGTGGTGAACATTGATTTCTGTAAAGACTGTCTCGTTTAAAGAGCCATAAATAAAATGCCTTATGGGGTTTTGGAGAACATTCCTAATCTGCTTCCCTTTAACTGAAGAGCCCATGGTTGCTTAGAGAAAAAATAACACGTATTCTTTCGGGTAAACGTGTGAAAAGGAAGAAGGAGGTGAGTACTTATTGGATGGTGAGGTGCTTTCACATCCATCCCCATGCAGGAGAAAAGTAACTTGTCAGTCTGAAAGCTGCCACTTTAAGAAGAATGCATGGGGGGCATTGTGGAATTAACACAAATGTTGGCCCAAAGGGGTCCTTGAAGGAAGTTATGACCTGGCTACCAGGTCTCCTGGGCTCACATACCTTGCTCAGTGCACCTCAGCTTCGGCGTCTCCTTGTTGCTATCATTGGGGGGTAAACCCTAATTCTCTCTGGCTTGGTCCCCACTCCCAGCTTGCCTTTGAAGCTTTCTCCAGCCAGAACCCAATTTTCTACCCTCTGGTTGTCCCTGGCATCCTCAGCCCAGCACCCCTCAACTCACTCCCATCCTGCCCAGATTAAGAGCCAGGGCACTTGATGTGTCCAACCATGACAGGTCACCTGAGGTGCAGGTTTCGAGGCCAGACCAACCACCTCTTCTTTCCTCATGTAACGAACGTGTGGTTTTTTTTTTTTTCCTTTGTTGAGAGGATTTATTTTTATTTTTTAAATTTTATTTTAATTCCACTATAGTTAACATGCAGTGTTAGATTATTTTCCGGCATACAATATAGTGATTCAACAATTGCAGACACACTCAATGCTTATCATGATGAGTGCCCTCCTTAATCCCTATTACCTACTAACTTAATGACTGTGGATAAACTAAGTGCATTAGCAGTAGTAGTAGAATCAGTACCCATTGCTGTGAAAGTCCTCAAATGTCTGAAGATCAGGAACTGACTGGGGGGAGAGTGGGGAAAAATTTCTTTAAGAAGGCTCCCTTAGGACTGGGTCGTCACAGGTAAGTAGGAGTTTACCAGGCTTCAAGGATAGGGAACAGCATTTTAGACAGAAGGAAGAGCACTTACAAAGGCCACACCAGAGTCAAAGGAAAAGAGAGTATTCTCTAATCCTCTCATAGCAGGGAAAAAATGCTTTTCCCTATTCTCTAATCCTCTCATAGCAGGGAAAAAATGCTTTTCCCATCGGAGCAGGTGTGGCTGTGGGTTTGATCTGCCGCGTGACAAATGTCTGGGGAAGCGAAGGGCTCTTCACATGGCAGTGGTGATCCTTCAGTTCACAAACCTTTGTCCATTGGGCCCCTGTGACATGTGGGCACTGTGCTCGGTTTCAAAGTCCTGGGGAGACACCGAGCAACCTGACAAAGACCCTTCCCTGAGCAGCAGGGCAAGTAGTTAGGCTGACTGATGGAGCCCAGCCCCCTCCCTAAACGCACTCATCATGGGGTCCAGATTTCACAGCAAATCACGGATGCAGAGACTGACCAACAAAGGACTTGAGAGTCTGAGTGGGAACAGACTCTTGTGTTAAGAGGGGACTCGCTAGAATGGGGACTCATTGTGCAAGTGGGAGGTTCATTAATCCCTCTTGCATGTTCCTCCGATGCCGCAGCCGGAGGGGACGTGTGTCGTGACTGTAGGGATCACAGGGCTTCCCTGTATTTCTGAGTCGTGGCTGTTTACAAAAATGCATCTAGAAGGCACCCGAGTCCGAGTGGCCTGTGGGATTGAAGCTCAAGTGGCCTTTTGTTGGGTTCCCTGGGGGAGGGAGGGCAGGAGCTGAGGCGTGCGTCCCGAGGCCCCCTCCCTGCCATCCTGGGTGGGCACCTGTGCTGATGGCTCTGACCTGGCCCCCTTCCCCTCAGGTATGGAGAGTGCAATCACACTGTGGCAGTTCCTGTTGCAGCTGCTGCTGGACCAGAAACATGAGCATCTGATCTGCTGGACCTCCAACGATGGTGAATTCAAGCTCCTCAAAGCAGAAGAAGTGGCCAAACTGTGGGGCCTCCGGAAGAACAAAACAAACATGAACTATGATAAGCTGAGCAGAGCCCTTCGATACTATTATGACAAGGTAAACCCTTGACCCTCCGGGAGACAGTCTCGGGGGGGTGGCGCGCCACCTGCACATTTCCCTGGTGAAAGCAGATAATCGTGGACCATGAAGCAAATTAGAAACATCAAATGGAGGCAGTTGATACAGGGTTTTCTGGTAGAGGGGAAAGCTGTGCCATAGGGATTTTTTTTTTTTTTTCCTAGAAGCCCTTTGGGTGTTCTGGTGGGTTGAATTTTGTTCCCTCTGCATTTTCCCTTATGGTTGCGGCAAACCTTTGCTAACAACAGAAATGAGTTGTAGAGATTCTCGGGCCTCCCTCATGGTCAGTTGCTTGAGTGACAGAACAAATGTTAAGATCTAGAAAGTCTGTGTGTCCCGTCTGGTTTGTAGTTGATTCAGACGGGTCTTTCCTGGGAATTTGGTAGCTGGGGCAAGTTATTTAACAGCTCAGGGCCTTGGTGTCCTCCTTTATATGAGGGGGATCATAATAGTACCATCTCGGGATTCTTATGAAGATAAACATGTTCAGTGCTTAGAACAATGCTTGCTACCACCCCAGGGTTTTCACCTTCGTGGGAAATTTCCCTAATTAAAAGAAAAGCCATTTTCCTTTTTAAGTCACAGAGAGGAGTCAGAGTGCTTTGTTAAGTGGTAACACAGCCCAGTTGCCAAGCAAGGACAGTTGGGGTGAGTTTTAATGCATTTCTGAAAAAGCAGTTAATGTGCCTGCTAGGGCAAAATTATTGCTATTTAGAGGTAATCATTTCAGGCCTGTAATTTTGGCCATCTCTGCACGGATCTGTTGTTGCTGTATATTTAGCTTCATAGACATAAAGACTTAGAGTCCTAATAAGGGTAAGCTTTTGTTCTGGTTTTGCTGTTCATATTGAAAGGTAAATTAAAAGCTGATTTAAATATTAGTTCCTGATCTATATTTAGTGCCTGCCTTTTGCCAACCTCTTTGGAATTCAAGACAGAAGGATTACACATTTCAGGAAGTGGAGACATCATTAATTATAAAGTGTTCCTTTATATGATCATAATTACATATGATTATGTCATTGAAATGTTAAAGGTGCTTTCCTTTAATGTAGCAATTAATTAGTCCTGGCTTAATGCAGAGTCCTGTGAAGAAGTAAAAGCACTTCTTGCAAATTGCACTGTCTGAAAGACTTGCAGCTGGTTTATTGTTTTGCATTTTCCCCCAGGTTCTAAGTTACACAATGGGAATCGGGGCCCTCTGAAGGGAAACAGTCATCTTGTCTGTTGGCAGGGTGCCTAAAAGCCTGGCTTTGAGACTAAAAAAATGTCATTGTTTTAAATCAAGGCGTCAAAGATAAGGGGCCCTGCCTCAGAATCTGTGACTTGGTTCCACCTCTCCTTGTACCCCGCACACTGGGGCTAAGGATGGTGGGACTTCAGCAGGAAGGGAGATCGTGGGCTGGAAGTGACTCCTCAAAAGACCAGTAGAGCCATTGCTATGCAGACTACACCTGATCTCCCTTGGGCAGACTTTGTAGGTTTCTGGGGAGAGCAGTTTCAGGGCCTTCAGTCCCCTGGCATGCTTTTTTTTTTTTTTTTTTTATAATTTATTGAGAGAGAGAGAATGGTAGAGAGAGAGCATGAGAGGGAGGAAGGTCAGAGGGAGAAGCAGGCTCCCTGCTAAGCAGGGAGCCTGACGCGGGACTCGATCCTGGGACTCCAGAATCATGACCTGAGCCGAAGGCAGTTGCTTAACCAACTGAGCCACCCAGGCACCCCCTGGCGTGCTTTGGTACCTTCTGTGTCTAAGGCTCGGTGCTGCAGGGCGCTTCCCACTCTTTGTCCCATTTAAACATAACAGCCCGGAGCTGGACCCACTGCCTCTCCTTTTACACGCGAACACGGGACAGCCGAGGGCCTCGAGGAGAAACCTGCCCAGGCTCCTGCGGCCAGGAGGCCATAGCATGGGATTTGAGCCGGGCTTGTCGGCCTGCATTCCTGGCCACAAGGCACACGGTAGGGTCATTCGTTTTCTTTGCCCCCTGAACACCTGAGTTGCAGGTAGGCAGTCGGGTAGCACAAAGGGGATTTTCGTTTATTAACAAGCACTTCCGTATCGCAGAGCCCTGCCGTGCACTGTGACTCCGGTTGAGCCCAGGGCCCCGGTGGCTGCTTCCTCACCCGCTTGTCTCTTCCCTCTCCCACCAGCACTGAGCTTGAGGTTTGGCCGCGTGACCTTTGAGCAGCCAGCTGGTGGGAACGGTGAGGGTGGGAGCCGCCCTTGTCCAGCGTGTCACGCAGGCGTGGCCACCAAGGGAAGACACTTTCTGTCCTTCCTTCCACGTGAACACAATACCCATGTGTGTACACGGTATACTCACATGTACACAATACACATGCATGGACACTATATGTGCGCATGCTACACGTATATATCATACGCGTATGTGCCGTGTACACATGCATGCACACAATGTACATATGCATGCAGTATACGTGCACACATACACAATATGTGTGTACACAACACACGTGCAGCCAGTATATGTGCGTGCGTGCAACATAGACGTGCATGTATGCGATATACATGCTAATGTGCATATGTGCACACAATGTGCATGTGAGTATATGTGATATGCATGCATGTGCGCACAGTACACATACGTACACAATACATGTGTGCACACGGGCATTTGAATCTTTCTCATGAAATGCTCTCAAGTGATGAGGAAGTGTGATCATTAGCTTCCTGATACTGTTTAAAATACAAAGGGAGGAAAGGAGAGGGGGCAGAGGATAAAGGAGAAGAGAGGAATGGGGGAAGGAGAGGGGGGAAGGGGAGAAATGGCAAAGGTTACAAAAATTATAGGTGATTTTACATTTCATGATGAACGCTTTTTAAAAAGATTTTATTTACTTGTTTTAGAGAGAGAGCGCCCGCATGCGAGCAGGGGAAGGGGCAGAGGGAGAGGGAGAGAGAGAATCTCAAGCAGACTCCCTGCTGAGCATGGAGCCCGATGAGGGGCTCGATCCCCCGAGCCTGAGATCACGACCTGAGCTGAAATCAAGAGTCGGATGCTTAACTGACCGAGCCCCCCAGGCGCCCCCATGATCAACTCTTCTTTCAACTTTGCCAGTGTTACTCTGGGACTATGTATATACATGGAACCCATAAGAAATTGCCAACATATGATCATTTTTGACCCACAGAAATGGAGTCTCACATGGTTTGGTTTCTAACCCGAGAGGCAGGACGGAGGAGGGTCTGTGAAGGGAAGCTCCTGGCCGCATGTTCCTCCGTGTGCCCCATCCTGCTCCGCAGGCGCTCCTCATGGTTCCCTGGCTCTCAGTGTGACCCTCTCTGCCTCTCAACATCCTCCTCAGTCCCCTCCTCCGTCCTCCAGGCCTGTCCGTCTGTCCATCCCCCCCCATCTCCCAAAGGACACTGATCCAGAGCCTGCTCTGCATGTGGCATAAAGTTGGTGACTCCCTAACTTGACGGCTGTGTTCTTCTCTCCCGTTGGCTTTTCTGTCCATTGCTAGCTAGCGTCTCATCACCATTGGCTGAAACTGCCCATCCGTTGGTGTGTCCTGATAGGGAAGTTTTCCTGCAAGAATGAGAATATCATTATTTTGTGTTGTTGTTGTAGGTTATATTTTTAGCTCATTCCAGAATATTAGAAATGGACAGAGGGAAAAAAAAACGTGGAAAATGTGTGCAGTACTTTGTAGAAGACATCGGAGCACAATGATGTCTGGGCTAATTGTACCTGCTGGGGGCTGAGACCTGATCTTTCATCATCATTCCTCACCCCCCCCCCAATCCATCATTAGAGCAAAGTGGTTAATAGCGTGAACTCTAGGTTAGACTGCAGGGTTTAAATCCAGCTCCAGGACCGTGAGTGCTTTGCCTGATCCCTCTTGGTCTCGGCTTCCTTCCTCAAGTGGGTATGATAGTAGAGCCTGCACCATGGGGCGGTGGTGGGGGTTAGCTGAGTTCACACATGGTCGGTTCTGAGAACCGTGCTCAAAATACAGTAGGTGCTACAGAGTCTTAGCCAGAGGAATGATCCAGATGATATTTTCTTCATCACTAATTTGAAAAATTCAGACCTGTGTACCACCTTCCTGAAGGAACACACCCAGAAGTCAGGTGAGGTCAGATCCTGGGTGACTGAGGATGGATGACCACAGTTTCTTTACCCCACTTCCTATCTTTATATATGGAGGCTCTTCTGAAATTCAATGACTAAGACGCTTGAATATTTAAATGATGCTTCCTTGCCCCTCTGAGGGGCACCTTTCTCTGAGCACCCCCAGCTGGAGCAGCCAGCAGGGGCTTTGCACTCAGCGCTGTCTGGGCTAGAGTCCGGCGGTCCCTCAGCCTCTGAGCCACCATACCCCCGTGGGAAAGGAAGCCTCATAACAGCACCTTCCCTCAGCGGGTGGTGTGAGGATTAAATGTGAGCACATGTACGAGGTGCTCAGCACAGTGTCGGGCACCTGCTAAATACATCCCCAGTGCTTGTCACTTCTGTTATCTGAGTTTATGAAACTCCCTGCATTGTGTGACAGTCGCCTGTTTATATCGCCTCACAAAACCGTTTTCACCGTGGTCGCCCAGTTTACCCCCTTTTGTTGCTCTGGCACCTTCTATAGGGTCTGGTGCCTAGGAGTTGCTCAGTAAATGTGAAGTGAAAGCAATTTGGTAACTGCTAAACTTGGAAACACAGTGTCACTGCCTTGTCCTGGATTCGTGTCCTCGGATGGTTGTAACCACAAAGTGTGTGGCTTAGAACAACAGAAATGTATTGTCTCACGGACGTGGAGGCCAGAAGTCCAAGATCAGTGTGTCGGCAGGGCCGTACTCCCTCTGGGACTCTGGGTAGATCCTTCCTTGCCTCCTCCTAGCCCCTGATGGGGGCCATCTGCCCTTGTGTCCCTCGGCTAGCACCTGCATCACTCGTCTCTACCTGGCTTGTCACGTGATGTTATTCCTGTGTGTCTCCGTGTCCGAATTTCCCTCTTCTAAGAAC